ACCTGATGAATATACAGTAGAGGTGACAAATAGATTTAAGGAATTAGATCTGATAGACAGAGTGCCTGAAGAACTATGGACAGAGGTTTGCAACATTGTACAAGAGGTAGCAACTAAAACCATCCCAAAGAAAAAGAAATGCAAGAAAGCAAAATGGCTGTCTGAGGAAGCTTTACAATAGCTGAGGAAAGAAGGGAAGCAAAAGACAAGGGAGAAAGAGAAAGATACACCCAATTGAATGCAGAATTCCAGAGAATAGCTAGAAGAGATGAGAATGCCTTCTTAAATGAACAGTGCAAAGAAATCAAAGAAAACAATAGAATAGGTAGGACAGAGATCTCTTCAAGAAAATTGGAGATATGAAGGGAATGTTTCATGCAAAGATGGGCATGATTGCCTGTTATTCTGGTTATCTTTTGGCTTCCTACTTTAGCATTCCAATCCCCCATGACGATAAGGACATCATTTTTTGGAGTTAATTCTAGAAGGTGTTGTAGGCCTTCATAGAACCAGTCAACTTCAGCCTCTTCAGCACCAGTGGTTGGGGCACAGACTTGGACTATTGTGATGTTGAATGGTTTTCTTTGGATTTGAACTGAGATCATTCTGTCATTTTGGAGATTGTATCCCAGTACTGCACTTCCTACTCTTTTATTGACTATGAAGGCTACTCCATTTCTTCTGAGGGATTCTTGCCCGCAGCAGTATACCTGATGGTCATCTGAATTAAATTCACCCATTCCTGTCCCTTTTAGTTCACTGATTCCTAAGATGTCGATGTTCAGTCTTGTCATTTGTTTGACCACGTACAGCTTGCCTTGATTCATACAGCTTACATTCCATGTTCCTATGGAGTATAGATCTTTACAGCATCGGACTCTCCTTTCACCACCAGATACATCAGCAACTGAGTGTCCTTTCGGCTTTGACCCAGTTGCTTCATTCTTTCTGGCGCTACTAGTACTAGCCCTCCGCTCTTCCCCAGTAGCATATTGGACACCTTCCGACCTGAGGGGCTCAACTTCCAGCGTCGTATCTTTTCGCCTTTCGGTACTGTCCATGGGGTTTTCATGGCAAAGATACTGGAGTGGGTTGCCATTTCCTTCTCCAGTGGATCACGTTTTGTCAGAGCTCTCTGCTATGACCTGTCCGTCTTGGGTGACCCTGCACGGCATAGCTCATAGCTTCATTGAGCTACGCAAGCCCCTTCGCCACGACAAGGCAGTGATTCATGAAGGAGAGTTTACATGAATATATGGTAATTATTAACAAGTCAGTCACATGCTGGCCAGCTTTGCATAATTACCCATAGAGTGGGTGATTTTGTAAATAAAAATGAGCCACAGTAGACTGCGGTGATCCTGCAGATTCAGGCATTCTTAGTACAGTCACAATGTCTTATGTTGATACATATGTCCCTGGGAGGTCCTATGAGGCTGTATCTTAAGGTGATACATACGACACAATACTCTACTGTGGGTGAGCGAGTCTGATACATGTGGGGCACATACAGCCACCATTTCAAATATGCTCAGGGGTTGTCATGTCATCCCTGCAAGCATGGGTACAACAACTACATAACCCTAAAACAGACCATGGACTATATGAAGGTTATTTAACTCTTACAGAGCCCACATTCACCAGGTTTACATGATATGACAATACCCAAGGTGGACTTGCATATGTAACACAGTGTCTGGGACCTCTGTGGGTTGTTATGGGCTAAATAACCCATAATGAGATACAGCATGTCATCCATACCTGGTTAATATATGGTAACCAAAATCAAATGGGGCCTTGGAGAAGTGCCAAATACATATCCAAACATTAGCACTTTAAGGTTCAAATAAAACAAAGCTGTTAAATGAAAATTCTGCTACTTACTGCAAAAGTGTTGCCAGTTACATCAATCTCTGGTGGCACAAATGCACATTCTGGATCATCTTTAAAAAGAAACACTAGATTAAGAAGTGAAAATAAGATTCTGGAATGTTTTAAGCACATTCTTTACCAAATAGTAGGTTCAGCTCAGAGCTGAATGAATTTGGCCTTCTTCCCAAAATTCTACACTCTATTTGTGGGTAGAAAAATGGTGGGAGATCATTTTACCACACAATCATCAGGACGAAGAGGAGGACTGAAATAGCTTCCTGTGGTAGCAGCCCAGCTCCCTGCTTTTTTCTCAAGATTTTACTGGCTGATGCTGCAAAAGAAAATTGTGTCAGGCAGGCGAGACATCCATTTTAGATTTTTCAGAATTGGCTATGATCACAGAAAATGGTGGCTTCCATAAAACAATAAAATAAACGAAGTAAAAAGGTGGAGAACATGCAGAGAATGTTTGGAAAAATAGTTATCTTCTTCTAGAAGGGGTGAATTCTCAAAAGGCTCTCCTTTAATCCAAGTTCTGACTGCTGAATAAAATGTTATATGAATCTGTAGTGCAAAGGTCACACAAGGTAAATACAACTCCTTTCTAAAAATTTGTTCAAAACACTCCTCAGTTCCAAGTTAAAAGAATAGAATTCACCCAAATTTCTATTTAAGGAATTACTGCTATCTCAATAAAGATCAAGACAGAGTATGGTTATTAGACAAAATGAACCATAAACTATTTAATCTTGTCATCAACAGCCATTTTGAAGGCTGAAAGCTATCAATCCATTTCAAGGCTAAAGAAAGAAGCTGACAGATTGATAGCTTCTTATATACTATATAGATCATGGGTCCTGATCTACAGCCTGTGGGCCAGATACAGCCCGCCATGCTCATTTAGAAACATAGAAACAGAGCGAGTCAGAAGGGGCCTCCCGGGCCATCTAGTCTGACCTCCGGCACCAGCCAGCTCCACTCACGACATGCCACCATGTGCACGGCCAGCCTATCCTTGAACACCCACACCGATGGGCCTCAACGACCACTTGTGGAAGCCCATTCCACACCCTCGGGGTCCTGTCAGGAAGTGCTTCCTGGCATCCAAATGGAACCTTGGTTCCCTGAGCTTTGCTCCGTTGGAGCGCGTCCTGCCTTCTTCTGCAGGGGAGAACAGGTCTCTACCCATCTCCATGTGACATCCCCTCACATACCTGTATGTCACCAACATATCCCCTCTGAGACTCCTCTTCTCCAGGCTGAAGAGACCCAGTTCCCTCAGTCTCACCTCATACGGCATCCCCTGCAAACCGGCCACCAACCTTGTGGCCCTACGCTGCACTGACTCCAACCTGCTATATCCTTTCTGTAATGAGGGGCTCATCTGCCCCGCCTCAGAGCTTTTGTACTCACTTGGAGAAAACAATCTCTGAGCGGGTCCAAAAGCTCTGAGCTGGTGCAGGCATCAGAGCCGGCGCATGCGCCAAATTGTAACAACTCAACTGCGCATGCACCAGCTCTTTTCCCCCTGTTGCACACATACAGAGTGGTAATACAGAGAGGGAAACAGAAGAGAGGAGGGTGGAAGAGGGAGAGAGATGAAGATGAAGAAACTAAAAAAGGATTGAAGGTAAGAAAAATGTAACTTTTTAAATCTATTTTTAATTATGTGAATCACGTCCCTGGGCTGTGGGCCAAGTCATGGCCACCTTGCCAAGCCCAGGGGCGGACAGGCTGAGGCAAAGTGGGGCTGCAGCTCCCGTGCCTCTGCCACAGCCTTCTCTGACCAAGCTGCTGCTGTCGAGCAGCTGCCAAGCTTCCCCCCCACAGCGGGGAGAGGTGGGAGGTGCCCCACTCGGCCAGCCATGGACCCATCCCTTGCCTCCCCTTGCCTCAGAAAGCAGCCCTTACCTCCCTCCTCGCGGCCCTCTCCCGGCTGGGGGAGCTGCCCCACACTCACCTCTCCGGCCTCCCACCCCCGCTCCTGCTCCCTCGGAACTGTGGCAGCAGCAGGACTATAATTTCCATCATGCCCAACCAGCATGGCCAATGGAAGTTGTAGTCCAACTCATCTGGGCAGTACCAGTTTTGGCAAGGTTGCACTTAAAATATGGTAGTCATTAGCTCTGCATCCAAATACAGCCATTGTGTATTGTGGGAATTGTTCTGGGCTGACTTGCTTCGAATACTAAGAGTGACATTAACAGTATTTATCCTTAGTATCTTTGCTTCATTCTTAGTAAATGCCATTTGCAGTCATCAGCTGTATTGTGCAAAATACGATATTTAGTGCCTTGGCTGTGTTGTAGCCATGTCCCCTGAATATGGACATGCTCTTCCCCACCTCATCTTGGGCTTCTGCTGCAGCCCGAGGGAGTGGAGCAAACATTTTTAAAATTAATTTTTAATTAATTTTAATTGTAGTTATTTTTAATGTGCACTGTGCATAGGAATTCATTCTTATTTTTTTCAAACTATAGGCTGCCCCCCCCCCACAACAGTCTGAGGAACAGTGAACTGGCCCACTGTTTAAAACGTTTGAGGACCCCTGATATAGATCATCAGATGCTGACGCTAAGACTTTGGAGGAAGTTACTTATAGCACATTCTTTCTGACAAGGTCAGAGAGACCTGCATGCAGATAAAGACAGAATTGCTTTGAATTCATTAATTTTGCTCCACGGTTAAAGGAGGGGAGGGATGTAGCATATGGGAGGTAGCACACTAGCCTAAGCTCTGATCCTACTCCCTCACCAGTACACTTCCCAAAACTAAGTATGATCCTAGCAAATAAACCTTCACTGCAATGCAGTGAACCTTCAGCAATCTGTGTAACTTCCTCTTGTTGTGATTTCCTCTTGCAATATAAAGGACACCAAAGCCCAGATATCACATTACATCTGGAATGTAGCCAAGTTACCAAACATTGATCTAACTATTTCAGCTTTATATTGAAAATGTGTTGTTGGAGCATGGCTTCACATGGTGACAAACTCCAAGGAGTAGTTTCTGTCTTGGTATGGCCTACATGGTAGGCATTCTAAATGGAAAGAGTTGGAGACTTCTAGCCTTCTTAGTTATGCCATAATTTGTAACTTTTTCTAATAATGAAAAAGCTATATTGAAACACCTTGAACATAGTATACTAGTCTCCCTCATCATCCTTAAAGAATGGAATGAAAAATACTTGATGGTTTAAGTCTTCTGTATAAAAAATAAATTAAAAAAAAATTAAAGCAAGAAGTCATGAACCAATTCCAATAATCTGAAACTTTTACAGTGGCTAAAACATTTCTCAACATACACTCTCCATTAAAAGGCACAGGCGAAAAGAAAAGCTCCATTTCAGACATAACATTAAACCATATTTCAATGCAACATCAACAAGTCACTCTTATTCTACAGTGTGTGTCTACAGTGTATTGAGTCTACACGGTATGCCTACAGTGTTAAGACTCCACACTCTATTCTGTTGTTTGGGTTTTTTTTCTTTTTCCTTTTTGGAGGACACACAGGTGGAGACATACTGAATGCTTGTACTTTTATTTTTAAATAAACCACAAATTTCCTTAGAGATATGAACTTGGAATAAGCCACAGGATACTGCTGCTTATTCAAAGCCAAAAGCTTCCAGTCTCCTATTCTACCCACAATGGAACAGGACAAGTAAGAGTGGAATGGACAAACCCAAGGCTCATGATGGCTCATTCTGCTAATTTTATACCATGGCCAAAATTCTGTTTCTGAAAAGATCAGGAATCAGCCAAAGACCACTTTCAATAAATGGCACTAGAGTTTTGTAATGAAATGGAGGGATACAGTTCTTTTAGCATCAAAATTAAAACATTTTCAGCACCAAAATTAAATTGGATTTTGCCCTGGGACATAGCAACTTCTGAAGCATCTGAATACTATGCTATCAAGATGCTAAATTAAGAGTGAAATTGACACATTCTGAAAGAAGCGCCTCTATTCTGCTTGTACACATCCAAGGAAACATGTAATGGAGAACATTAATGTACTTTGACTTGTTCAGTACATAGGCTAATGCATCATAGCAGAGGTCAGGTACTCATTTGTAAGGGAAATAATGGCAATACCATCCACAATTTCTGTTCTTTTGCCATTTCAATAATTACATCAGAGAATGACACTGTTGGTGCACTTGAGAAGAGAATGGCACCTTTAGTAATTCTGTCATTATTGTTATTTTTATGCAAGGAACATAACAGTAGCCATTAACAAGCTTGCTGAAGCCTTCAGGGCCTGTTGTTTAGCATTGCTCTCCCTGACTAGAAACAACAGACAGTCATGCACCAGGACATTTAAAAACAAAGCCAGAAGATCCTGGTTATATCTAAGATCCCACCAGATTGGAAGGGATAGGGAAGCTCTCTCTGGATGACAATAAGGCTCCGTGAAGGCAAATAACAACAAAAGTAGCCCACTAATACTACATTTTAATTATGAACATCAAAATTTTCAAGAGGGACACAGCAAGAAACCTGGGTAAAATTAAGTATCCTACATGTTTTCTTTGCAGTTGATTCATTATCTCTTAGATGTCTTTGCTACACCTGACTGGTCAGTACCTAATCTGGAATCTTCTCCATGCTGAGTTTTTAATTAATTAAAATGAACAAAAAAGGAAGGAAAAGAATAGGACCATTCCAGTCTACATTCTTCAAACCAGCCAGATCTATACAAGATCCCCTAAATGAGCCACTGCCAACACTACTAACAGGCAAAGTTGTTCTGGGCCACTACCATTGTCAGAATAATATCTCTCCTCACAATCACCAGATAAAATGGCACATACACACTCAGTAGACATGTACAGAAATGCACTGTGCCTCCGCTTAAAATAAATAGCATTTAGGGCACGATCCTATATATGTTTAGGGAGGGAAAAATATTCCTACAACTCCCAGCATTCCCCAGCCAATCATGGGAAATACCTGGGGAATGCTGGGAGTTGTATGACTTTTTTCTGTCTGAAAATGCATAGGATCATGCCATTACAAAGGATTCCTATGGCTCCTAGCCAGCACCTGGGGAACCGCAATATGCTCTTCCATGGCCATTAGCAGAGCCACAAGCACAAAGGAGACCATTTGTAGACCTTTCTTTCTCTCTTCCCTCCCAGCTGCCATGGAGAATTTGGAGAAGTAAGTTATAGACTGGGTGAAACATACTGAACCTAGAGCCTTCTGTTGATTGGAAGCACAAGTGTTGGGATGCATCCTTAATCAAAACTCCACTGTCCAATCTATCAAAGTTTACAGTCCCAGCAATCTGCTTGCTACTGGCAGTAAATAATAAAAATATGAAATCAATAATTAATTAACCCACTATTTGCAGGGACCCACAGTGTGTACAAGTTGCCTCCAGTGGTCAGAAACTACTTATGAATGTTCCACTTAGAAGTTCTTAGTGTGATGTCCAAACCCAGATGCTTCACGTCGGGCACTAAACATTTGTTTTGTTTCCATTTGTTCTTAGGTTACCTTGATTGTTTAATACACAGGCTGTCATGAGACATGGTCCTCCTCCTGAGCAAACATGCTGCTACAGAGTTTCTCTTCATGAGGCTTTATTATTACACATCCCTATTGTTGCACATCTCTCAGTTCATCCAGAGTGAAGTGTTGAGCCCTCTCTAACACCTCTCAGTCTCCACCTCACATATACCCTCTCCTCCTGCGCCATTCCAGAGGTGGGGCACTGTGAAACCTTGCCTGCTGGTGCTCTTCCCATTTCTCCATCAACTGAATCTCTGACCTGTATTGCCTCCTCACTACTGACATCACCTCTTCAGCGGGAGGGACCTCAATATCTGACAGACTGGTAAAATCCTGATTGGCTCTCTGCCCAGTTTCCAAGTCCTCCTGCTGTTCTCTCACTGGTAGATTGGGACTCTTGTCAGCACTGGCTGTCAACTCCACCCCTGCTGTGTTATCTCTCCCTTCCCGCAGATTGATTGGCTGTCAGCTCTACTCACTTGGACTAGTTCTCCTTGTTCCCCAGACATTCCCTGGCCTGTAGTTTGCTGACATTCCAGAGCCTCTTCATCTTTCCTGTCTGAAGCTAAACTGCATGTGTTCTGGGACCTTTTCCCTGTGCACATGAACACCACCACCTACCAAAAAGTCCAGGTTCAATCATCATGGCAGAAACTTTTGAATGTGGCATTCATAAATTGCTTCTGAACATGGAAAGCGGCTTGTACCTACAGCACACTTCCACAAACCATGGATTGACATGCCCACAGTTTGCTTCTGTGGCATACAAACACCCTCCTGGTCTTTGTACTAGACAGCACAAGCACCTAGTTCAGGGTAGCCAGCCTCTTGGAAGGAAGACAAAACCTAGTTTCTTAGAAAGTACTTTCAGAAAATACCTGACTGAAGAAAGTGTTTAACTTCAAGGCAAATATATTTGCCCAGAATGGAGAATGCTGAATCTCACATCTGCACTGGGGATCTTTAGACTTTCTTCCTAATTACACCAACTGGTTGCCCAAGACTTCTGAAAAGAAGTTTGCTTGTACCGATTCTTCTTCACGTCTCCATCTCCAGGATTCTTCTGGCTCCTAAAGAAGTTCCTATCTCTCATGGTCTTTCCTTCCCGCAGCTACTTCTCCAAGTCACATTCCTTTCCCACCTCTTCCTCTTTAGTCTTTACAAGTAATCCTTGCTTGCATCAGGTTACTGTATCATTCATGTGAAAGAACAGTTCAGGGTACAGTATCCATAGCACAGTGTTCTCTTTACCATGCAACTTCTGAGAAAACACAACCAGCTAACACTTCCATGATTGAGCTACTTGGTCAGATATATAATCCTACTAACCCTTTCACCTATTCCACATAATATGACCTATGACCTGGGACCAAGTCCAAGTCAGATAACCTTCCAATTCACTGAAGTACCATGTTCTCTCTAAAATACCACAACAGATAAAGTGATATCCTAATACCACATGGTCCCAACAACTTTAAATGTCACAAATCCAACACCAGCAAGTGTCACCTGTCATGCATACTCCCAGTCTTCCCAGTCTATAATACAGAAGCTTCCTTCCAAGACCCTGGCTACCCTGAACTTACCTGGGTTTCCTTGGGCCACATGTTAAGATTCCTTAGTGGCCATCTCATCTCTTCAAGGGGTTTCAAAGCTCAACAACAACAAAACCGGGAATATTCCTCAGTTTAAGAGCTGCCCAGCATCTTGCATGTTTCTACAATATCATAGCAGAAAGCTATAGTCTCCTTTCTCCCTTAACAATCTTGTTGTACTGTTATGTGTGATCTTCCTTTGTGTAGTCTGTAGTTTACCTTTGTTTCAAAATAGTATTCCAACTTCACATCACAATCCTATGTATGTCTACTCAGAAATAAATTCCACTGACTTCCAGGCAAGTGTGTATTTCCTTGTAAGCACCTTAGACCAGGAGAGCATCTATATACTTTAATGTTTCTCAATGGCAAAGAAAAAAAGGCAATCGCAGCTGCTCCTACTCATGTTACAAAGACAGGGAGATTGAGAATGAAAACCCAAATGCAAAATTTTAGAATATCATCATTTGAAACATCTGAATGCACTTTTTAGAACATATTTATTTCAATTCATTCTCAATCTTCACATCTGTTCAATGTCAGAGCAAAAGAACCTGTTGGTCAACCTGGGTTATATATTCAGAAGCAGAAGGTATGCTAGTACATTGCCCGTCTCCCTAGCATTCATGTCTTTCTCAGAGTTTTGTGCACCCTATACGATCTTCTCCCCATATCCTTTCACAATGTGAAAAAAAATGTCCTTTGACTATGTGTTTTTGATGTATATTATTTTAGCTCATTTTGTTTCTTTTCAACACTTCTTTCTGAAGTTGGATGAAATCACCTTTCCCTTATAAATTTGTACAGCCATCAAGCCAACTGTTACCAACATTCCTGAATTGCTGGTTGGTTTGTTTGTTTGTTGCATTTCAATACTGCCCCACAGCCAAAGCACTCTGGGTGGTTTACACAGTCCATAAAAAGAGATGGTAAAAGTACAATAAAAATATCATAGAATCAGAAGACATATTAAATAGTTTGAGGATCATCTTATCTAGTATTTTTTGTCCAGTGTTCCTCCGCAATTCAATTATTTACTTGCATCTTGATGTCCATTTTCTGCAGTTTTGAAATTCCACACCCATGTTGGCACATACAAGTACTTTTTTTGAATTCTACTGGAAATTTTGCATATTCCATCTAGTAACTTTCATTCATTCAAACCACAGGAATCCTTCCACCCAAAAGGAGGTCATTATATGATTTTTACATTGCATGCATTTAGTCTCTCCTCGTCATTGAACCCCCAACAAATCATTCTGGTTGATCAGTGTTCCCTGTATGCCATAAACCAAGCAAAGGAGATGGGTGGTTGGCAGAGCCAGGGAGGAAATAGAAGTTGTGTCTGTCTTATCTCCTACCACAATTTTTCCTCTTTTCCTCTTATTTAGTTCCAGTCTATTAAAGTGTAATTCTTAGAAGAACTCAGAGTGTACCATTACACAGTCCCAATCATCTTAGCTAACCATGGATTAATACACAGATTCATGCAATATGGATAAAGTTTGCAATTGTATTATTAGCCATCATTACGTCCAAAAACAATAGTACCCAAGAGACACTTACCGGAGGAAGGGAACAACAGTAGCTTAACTCTAGCTGGCTTTAACCTGATGTGTGTTATTGATGCTAAATGCTACCTTTATCTATTACCGCTAGGGAAAGTTACAATTTCCTGCTCAGTTCTTCCCCCAGTCCAAATAATTTAAATAAATCTATCATACTCTCTTCTATCTGCCAGAATCTCTTTGCATTTCAGGCACATTTAGACAAGTGCATGACAGCACTCATTGGGTAGTTCCTCCAGATGATATTAACTAGATGGAAGAACTGGCTCCAAAGGCTTATTAAATTTGAACCAGAAACCTTTGTTCAGTACTGTAACAACTAAATGAATGCACAGTGTTAATTGATATAACCTAATTTAGCATTACGTGGGCCGACCTTCATGCTTGCATTAACAAATTATTGTTTCCAATCTAATTAAAATCCATGAAGAATTCTGACAGTGAGAATATAATGTTTCACTACATCCTCTCAGTGTGAGTTTTTGTACTTTTTAACAAATTGCCCGGAAGCATAAATACTTACCACTGATCTGTTCCATGAAGCATACATTGCCATTGGTGTTAAAAGCCAAAGTGTCAGGAGTAATGCAAAGTGTATAGAAGATTGCAGAATGGGCAATGCTCTTCAGAGACTGGCTGCACTCCAGGCAAATAGCCCAGATATCATGCTCAGTAAGACAGCTATCCTGCAGTGACAAAACATCAGCAAGAGACACGTTCTCCTGCCAAGACATGAATTCATAAATTACTCCACATTCCATGCCATTACTTGTAGCCAATTGTGTCAAATAAAATCTATAATACACTAACCCAACATGGTTTTAGCACATTTAAAGCTAAGCTAGATCTAAAAGGCACATCTTCACACATAGTACTTTTATGGTGGCTTCCAATGGTTCTGTTCGTCCCCAGTTTCTACTTAATACTCCCTGTTTGGTTTGTGGCATTCTTCTCCTATTCAGCATTTTCCAGGTTTCCATTTGTAACTGTCTCCAAACTCCAAATACACTTCACCCAAAGCAGTGGCCAGGGGATTTGCCAATGAAACATCAAAAGGGTCATGGGGCACAGGTATCAATGACCAAAAAAGGAAAATGGCTTAATTCCACTTCCTTCTACAACTAATCCCATGTTACTAAGAGCAAACCTAAGGGAATGGTGGAAAGAATCAAACATGTAATTAAGAAGTAGTCCCAAAAAAAATGCATTTTTATTTTATTATTTATTTAAAGTGTTTGTATGCTGCCCAGTTGTGCCACAACATTTTGTAGTAGAGACAGGTGAAATGAGACACTTTCATGAAACTTTATTGTTCATAACTATTCCTACATGTTGAATGATTAGTTTGGGTTTATTCTTTATAAAATAACCACCTACTTTGCCATTAAAGTACTGCTAGTTAATACATCACGTTAATAAATCATTAAAGTAACACTTGTTGATATTTGATTTTACTTTTAAAAGGTGCCTTTTCATGCCCATTTTCAAGTAAATACTTATGATAGTGTCCAAGTCCAATAAGCCAGACTTATTCTTCCCTGCTTCATGTGCATCATTAAGGCCAAATCTTCATCTAATAAGTAAACTAAACTATCATCATCATCATTACCACCACATTGCATTTATATCTCCCCTTCCTTCCTTAAGCTGACTTATATGCTAAATGTAAAGTCTTGATTTACCTCAAAATACACCTACCTCCAATAACAGTTCTGCCCTGAAAGAAGGTACAGAACTATTTTAAATAGACTTGGAAACTAGATGAACTCTTCCTGTGTATTTTTATACAAGGCTATGAAAGTGAAGAAGAACTAAAGAGCCTCTTGATGAGACAGGAGTTTGGCAAGGCTGTATACTGTCGCCCTGCCTATTTAACTTATATGCAGAACACATCATGAGAAAGGTGGGGCTAGATGAATCTCCAGTTGGAACTAAGATTGCTGGGACAAATATCAACAACCTCAGATATGCAGATGATACCACTCTCATGGCAGAAAGTGAAGAGGAACTAAAGAGACTCTTGATGCGGGTGAAGGAGGAGAGTGCAAAAGTTGGCTTGAAACTCAACATTAAGAAAACTAAGATCATGGCATCCGGTTCTCTCACTTCCTGGCAAATAGATGGGGAAGAAATGGAGGTAGTGACAGATTTTATTTTCCTGGGCTCCAAGATCACCGCAGATGGGGACTGCAGTCAAGAAATTAAAAGACGCTTGCTCCTGGGCAAATTTAGACAGCATACTAAAAAGCAGAGATATCACGCTGCCAACAAAAGTGCGTATAGTCAAGGCTATGGTTTTCCCAGTTGCAATGTATGGCTGTGAAAGCTGGACCATAAGGAAGGCTGAGCGCTGAAGAATTGAGGCCTTTGAATTGTGGTGCTGGAGGAGACTCCTGCGAGTCCCCTGGACCGCAAGGCAATCAAACGGGTCAAGTCCTAGAGGAGATCAACCCTGACTGCTCTTTAGAAGGCCAGATCCTGAAGATGAAACTCAAATACTTTGGCTACCTAATGAGAAGGAAGGACTCCCTGGAAAAGAGCCTAATGCTGGGAACAATTGATGGCAAAAGAAGAAGGGAATGGCAGAGAATGAGGTGGCGAGATGGAGTCACTGAAGCAGTAGGTGTGAGCTTAAGTGGACTCCGGGGGATGGTGGAGGACAGGAAGTCCTGGAGGAATGTTGTCCATGGGGTTGCGATGGGTTGGACACGACTTCGTGACTAACAACAACAACAACAGTTCTATCATAAGAGGTATTCTACATCATACCAAGAGTAAGTCTGGCTTACTAGTTCAGCTTTGCTGTACCCACAGTGGCCAATCGGCTGACTGTGGAAAGCCCACAAAGAGAAGAAGGGTTATAGCAGTACCATCCTGCTCAGGTTCCCCAACTACAGGGACACTGAGGCACAATCTGTCCAATAGAAGAGATAGTATATGTAGCTTTAAAACCAGCAGCCATTGGTGATTTGATCCTGTTGCAGTAAATGCCATTGATGGAAAGAAGTAATCCTGGAACTTTACAGAATTCAGTATCTCAGAGCACATGCATTAATATGAAGATGAACTGGAAACGTGCAGAAGTCAATACACAATTCAGTATACTTTAAAAATGAAATTACCCTTCCATGCATTTTGATCAATACTAGTATTTCAGCCTAGTGCTTAGTCACAGACCCAATCCAGCCTGGGTGATTTCACTAAGTCAAGCTACTTTCTCCTACTGAAATCAATGAGATAAGGAGGCTTTCAAAGAATGCACTCATTGACTCCAAGGTCCATCTCATTCATTTCGTAACTGTGTTTTCTCAGTAGATGCTGATTTCAATGAGGCTTCCCTGGAAGTAAACCAGGATTGCAGCCTATTTTTATCTGTCCTTTTGAAGCACTGTTTCACAGCAACCTTGTTCACAGAGTTTCTTTTGCAGCTTGGTGCAGGAAAGGACTGATATTTGTGGCTGATGTTTTAGTTTCAAGGGATCTGCAATATACTTCACTTCAAGCGGAACAGGATCAGTCAGTCGTAATTACAGAAAAACTTTGACCAGCTGTTGCTTATTTAGCTCTATGGCTTAAAACTCCCCTCTGTAGCCAGGCCCTTGAAACACCGATGCCTCCTTATATGCAACACTGGATGGAGACCGCAGCTTTCCAGGGGAAGGAAAACTCAGGCTGGCTAGAACCAGCTCTTAACAACCTGTTTTCACAGGCTTTAGGGCGAAGAAGGGAGCGCAACCCGCAAAGCGTGGAGAAAAGTTCAGCAGCGGACGCAGCCCAGAAAAGCCAAGTTTGAGCCAGGCGCGCCGCTTCCTCCCCAGGCAGCCTCGTGCGGACAGCTGCCCGCCGGCGCCCGCGCCCTTGGCTGTGCTCACCTCGTCCTCCGAGAGTGCAGGCAGAGGTTCAAAGTCGCCGCAGCCTTCCTCCTCCAGCTGCCCATCGGCAAAACCGTCCATTTCGCGGACGCTTCCAACCGACTCCCCTCCACCTGAGGAAGGAGGAAGAGGCGAAGAGAACAGTACTCGCTCCGGCGCCCTACGCGCCCGGCCCCTCGGCGAGCGCTTGCGCCGCGGGAGTCAACCGCCGCCCTGGCGCGACCCCGCTTTGCCTTGACTAGTTATGGCCCCCGGCCCCCGCGCCTCTTCGCTCGCTCCCGTCACCGCCGTGCTCTGCTTGCTCTGCCTCCACCGTCCTCTGCGAACGCCGCAAGCCCCATGGCAACGGACACGACGCGGTTACAAAAAGCAAGGGCACTGCGGCCCCGCCTTTTCGGGGGGGGGCGATGGGCATCTGAGGTGTCCCCCCCCGGCGTCGGCTGGGCTTAAATGCGCGGAGCGGCGAGGGGAGTCCTCCGCGAATGAAACGCCAGGTTGCCGAGGAAAGACCGACCACGCCACAGTCTAGCTGGTTGCTGCAAAAAGCGCAGAGACTCTTGTGCCATTTAAAAAGTGCTAGAAATACCTAATGACACAAACTTCCATGGACTACGCCATCCCTAGCAGACAACAGTTATGTCAATTAGGGCCCGATCTTTTGCACATTTGGACAGAAGTAAGTGATACTGTCTCAGCATTTCCCAGCTGGGAAATGTTGGGAATGCAATGCTTCCCCCCCCCCCACCGCCGCCCCCGTCTAAACCAAGATGTAGTGGAGGAGGACGGGGGGGGGGTCGAGATGCCCCCACTTATTTTGGGCGGCTTCAGGGGGTTGCTGGATCACTGAAGCCAGAGGCCCCCACTTCTTCTCGAGAGACTATTTTTGCTGGTTCATGACTGACAGCTGCCATTGTGTCAAGTCCTGAATTTAATGGGTTAAGAATAAGCAGTGTTTTTTCGACAGTTCCCAAGGGCTCCTGGAAACTACCTATGTGGAGAGGCCTGCCAGGCATGCACACGTGTTTTCTGCGATGCTTTCCCCAAAACTACCTCCTATCCATCCTGCATTCACACCACACATTTAGAACATTTTTATTCCACTTTAAACAGTCATTACTTTCCCAAAGAATTTAAGAGACCATAGTTTGCCAAGGGTACTGAGTGGACACCTCTTCTTCGCACAGAGAGGTACAGTTTCCAGAGAAATTGACTGAGAAACCATTCTGAGAACTGCAGCTCTGTAAGGCAAATAGGTGTTTTCTAGCAACTCTTTCCCCAGAATTATTTGAGAGAAATAACGGCTAAAGTGGAATAAAAGTATTGACTTCTGATAGTATTAAGTTTCTCTTACTTCAGTTTGGCTACTTTATGCATGATTCAGCATAGATCCAATGAGAGCACAATAAAAGATTATTGAATATTTGGAGAAACTGGAATCCCAAAACTATGGATTCTGATCTCCCACACATATGAACACACAAAGTCAGCGGTTGCAGAGTCCACAGAAAATTAAAGGAAACCAAACAGTCGAGACTGCTGCTTTTGGGAGTATATCACTACATCTGTTTCTGTAGGAGTGGGGTATTAGTGCCTAAGTTTTCTTTTTTCCTCTTCCCTTGCTGTTCCTTTCCCCCTTTTTGTCATGTTTTTAGATAGGAAGCCTTATTAATTCCACATAAGCCACTCTGGAAGCTTTTTGGCTGGAGAGTGGGGTGTGAATGTCCTTTTTAAAATCATTCATTCATAATAAAATAATAAGGAAAAACTTCTAGAACCTGTCATTGTTTCACCTCAAAAAGAGATACCCTAATCTTGCATGTCATTACTGAACAGAAGAAGTGACAAAGCTCATTTTTATTGTATAACCGTAAGTTCGAGAATCTTGGGAAAAGGTGTAGCTGTGGCTGTGAGGTATAGCTCACTATACCACTGGCCTAAACATGCATAGATTACAGCATAATTGCATTTAATTCCTTTTCACCTCACTGTTTACAATTCTCCACCACCACCACCACCACCACCTACCATATATAAACCTGAAGGTCTCCCTAATACTCCAAGCATATGATGAAGTAAAGTATACTGCAAGGGGCTTAAACCAGAATAAATGTTCTTTCAGGTCCCAAAAGACTCTTGTTTCTCATGCAATTCTGGATAGCATAGTCAGCCTCCTGGTTTGTTTTGCTTCTGTTGTCCAGTTCTGTTTGGGAGAGTCCTGTTAGTTTATATAGCAACCACACATGCACAAACATGCACACACAAGTCGACTCAGGCTGCAGTACTTTACACATCTGGAAATAAGCTCCTTTGGAGTCAGTGGGACTTGTGTTTGGATAAATATACCTGGCTTTGTACTGTTAAACACACTAATACATATATTGCTCTGTTAATACACTGTAGTGTAAGCTTTCCTGGAAAAGAACCAGTTTCGTTAGATGCAGACCAAGTACCATCTCATTCAAAAGAGTTTATGACTCAATGAGTTGGTCTTTTTAGGGGGTTTTTTTTTAAGTGTATGTTTCACATTGTAATAGTATATTTTGTTTACATTAAATCAGTTCAAGATGCAAATATTCAATTCAAAGTGTTGTATTTGTAAGATATAATATATGGTTCCTAACTGCCGGCCTGTTAGGATCTAAATACGCATAGTTTGTGCTTGCTTACTATTTCCTGTTTCAGTTTCTCCACTGCAGCTTTGCCACTAGCATTCTGATATTCAGGGGAGGCCGATGGCTTGTGCGAGCGGTATCACACAGGGCAGATCCGCGGAGGGGAAGCCAAGGGCACAGGAGAGGCAGAGCAGTCTTTCAGTCCCCCACCATGAGCAATCCATTCTACAGAAAGGCTGGGTGCATGCAGCACTATAGGCCACATTCTATAGCAAGCATAGTAGCCACCTTATGCAGACATGGAGCAAGGGAGCTGCAATCTCTCCAGGCAGCTATCAAGCCAACTGGAGCAGTCGATGTCCTGCTTTGGCAGGAGACTTTTTACCTCATATCAGTGGAAGCACTGCCAGTGGTTCAGCCAACTCACAAGTCAGCTGAAGTGACCTCTGCCCACAGCACCGAGGCAAGGCCTTTTGCTTCCGAACAGGGGGACTGTGATTGCTGCAGCTTGCAGTAAAGATGGCTGCAGTGATTGCCACCCTGCACCACTATCATGAGGCTGAAAGAGCTCTTGGCAGCATGAGATAGGGGACCATCCCTGTACACCATCAAGCCCACTGTGGATTTGAAGGGAGTTACCACCTCAGCGGGTAGTAAGGGAGGCCTCTGACAGCTGCCCCCAAGGTCCACCTGGGTCGTTTGGGTGTGGAAGTCAGCAGTGCTCACCTAGAAGGCTTTTGATGACAGTGACAGGGGGATTTTGCTACTCTTGCCAAGCAGCTTACCTGTGGTTGGGCTTGACCAAGAAAGGGTTGTGCTCTCCAAGTTCAAACAGCAACCAGCTGTCAGTCAAACAAACCTGACCTTCTTACAAGCCAGGGTGGTCCAACACATGGCCCACAGGCCATATATTGCTACTCAGAGCCCCGCTCCCAGCCTGAATCCCAGCAATGGCATAGGCATGATTGCAGCGAGCTTGCCTGAGGCTGCCAGCCTGAGGAGAGCTCGCCCCAGCACGCCCTGTGCCAGCTGGTGAGTGCTAAGGTTCTCAGGAGCTGAGTGTGCTGGGCAGCAGGAGTGGGCAGGGATGCTGGGGAAAGTTGGTCAGCTCCGGAGGCTCAGCATGCCAATTGCAGGAAGGAAGGAAGGAGGGGCCAGAGGGCCATAGGAGGTGTAAGTCGTCCTGAGGCTGCTGCAAAGGACAGCATATATATGTTTTAATAAAATTAAAATTAAATATGAGAGGGTTTCTGGGTGAAACAAGGAAGAAAGGAATGGGCCACCCCAGAGGAGCAGTCATTGTGCTTGGGCTGTTGTCAGAGAAGGAGCTACTTGTGATCTCTGCATCCTTTTTCACTCATGGAAATGCGATTCATTATGTACCCTGGGTTCTGTGTCTAAGTCCTCATGTACCCTTGAGGTACAAAAAGTGGGACTGCCTGTTATAAGCCATGGAGGGTTTCATGTAATGGAAACAGTCAAGGAGAGCTAAAACACACAATATGAAAGGGAGAGTGGGAAAATAAGAGTCACACAAAAGTTCACATTTGGACCTGCATTCTCCAGTCCCTGTAACAAATCTCATTCAATAAAGTGACTCTAGGAAGGCAGAAGCTTACAGCCATAGTAACAATGATAATGATGATATTACAACAACACCCAATATCTCAGAGCCACTCAGAGAGGAATACAAGAACAAATTCTGAAAGCATCCAAAAATGCAGGCCTTTATATATCCATGACAAAGCAACCACCAAAACACAGAAGAAATACCGTGTAAAATTCTAGATTATATGTATCTCATACCAAGTGAAGGCTGAATTGGAAAGGAGAATGTTTGAACATCCCTTTGCATGTAATGCTAATAGTACTTTCCTTGGGAAGCTAGCAGGAACCCTTTGCAAAACACGTTCTCCCAAACCACACACATACAAATCATAACAGTGATCCTGGGGGCAGCGTGCAAAAGCAACTGCACTGCCTTCTGCCTTCTACCAGCGGGCCTAACCATCTGCCTGCCTGCTGCCCATGTGCCTGCCCAAAGGCCCCTGGGCCACTGCTGCCGCAGACCCTGAGGGACCAGGACTGTGCCCGGCTGTGGCCATGGCTGGTGGCTGAAAGGCCACAGCCTAAGGGCCTTGCCATTTGGGGCCATTCAGGGCTGGTCAGGGCTGCGCTGGGCCAGAAACTATGGTTGGTGGGATGAGGAGGGCTTGGGCAGGGCAGCCGGTCTTAATTGTATTTATTGGTGGTGTTTTTCTAAGTGGGTCCAGATGCAGTTCTTGCACTAGGCTCCATTTTAAATTTGCACAGCTTCCTATTTTATATTTTTATATTTATTGTATTTTAATCAGTCATGGGAGTTCCTGGGGAGCGATGGGGTGCCCCTATAGGGTTGGTTATGGACAGGGGAAGGTATGGCATTGGGGGTCTAACAGGTCATTGCAGAAGAACGGAGGGCAGATGGATAAC